GAGCCGCAATAACGGCGCGGCATTTGCAACAACGCCGCTGCTCTTTTAGAAGCTCTTTGAAGTCGCCGGATGGCGGCAGGGGAACCGGACCGGAACTGCTGCGTCGCTGGAGAAGCGGAGAAGCAGGTCAGCTGAGCTGAGAGGTCCCGATTCCAGCTGCGAAAGCGTGTCAACGGCGAGCGGCTTCGGATCAGCTTGAGACGTAGAGTCGTCGCTGAAGGAGAAGAAATCTGAGAATCCTGTGGCGAGCGTCCGCTTATATAGCCAGATGCCCCGCCCATTCTGGCGGGCTTCGTCGCCATAGGCTCGTGCAGCTCAGCTGCCGCGCCATTGGTTAGTTTTTTAAAGCCCTGCACGAACCAATGGCCGTGCAGTTTCACTGCGTGAATGAAATAGGCTTCAGTTCAGGAGAAAAAAGGCTTTTTCCCATATGCGTCTTAAGCAAGACGCAGTACTAGTGAAGTATCGAAAGGGAACTAAGATTTCTATGCCGGCTGCAAATTACACTCACTTTCAGGTGAGTTAGTGGGCGCCCCTAGTGGCCAATAATGGCGCCACAAACTAAACTGTCAAGTTCAAAGTGAATTATACTCAGAAAATGTAAATAAAGTGCAGTTAAATCTTTAAGAAAATATATATATAAAAAAAATTCTCACTCAGTTCTCTCACCTTTGTGGATGGGTACAAGCAGATCAAGAGATTTCTGGGAGAGGTGTGGCCAGATGACACTGATTTCCTTCTGCAATTCTATGTCCATCTGACCCCTGTCCTCACCCCCTGATACACAAAGACCATTTAACTAATATTACTGTGGAAAAAAAGACAAATCACAGGATGTTTGATCTTTACAAAACTGAAAATTAGCAGTAGTGGCAACCTCGAGCGATTTTAATGTCCAGCGCGGTGCGTATCAGGGCCATAAGAGTGGAGGTGAAGTGGACGGACATGTCTTCATCCACTGGCATGTTCATCAGAACCAACCGCTGAGAGAAAGTCACCATAAGGACAGAAGACAATTGAAACACAAGTATTGCAAAGCTTGGGAGTGAGCATGTTTTTAAAATAGTGATCTAATAGTCATCTAGGTTTAGTTGTCTTTTAACTTCTACAGTTAACACTAAGAAGACGTCACAACATCAGACATTCATGCACACAGTTGAAACACATATACTGGATAGAGACAGATTAGAGATTTATGCATTGAAATTGTAAAAGGATCACACTTTATGAATATGCCCTTTGAAATATGTCTTTAACACTGGAATAAATGTCAGGGTAATGACAGTGTTTTGAAGACGTTAAGGTGACATATTCAAATAAAGTATCATTGGTGGATGTACAGGGACTTCACGGTAGGATGATTAAAAGACAATGACAAAGAATAACATCACTGATCTTCTACAAATTATAATATAACTATATGTACTGTAATTATTTGACATACAATGGTCCTAAAACCCTTAAGTTGTTACTACATTAGAAAAAAGCAAACTTTTAGTTAACTTGTGTTTCACAAATCATTCTCACTTGGTTCAATATGCTTTTACATAATGCAAAGATACAGAATTCATATTCTTTTAGTTTAAAGTGGCCAAATACATCTTCAGGACACTGTAACTACGGCCCCGAGCTTGAGCCTCTTGAAACCAAGCAGACTTCATTCAAATTGTAATACTGCAGACTACCTTATACGCCACTTTGGAGGGGCATTTCTTGCCCAGGCCAAGCGGTGGCGACATGCAGGTCAGCATCTCGTACATATCAGTGTAATGAATACGGCCACTAGGAGGGGGCAGTCACCAGGGGCAATGTGATGAAGAAGAGGAGGAGGAAGAAGAATTGGGCATTCCCAAGGAACGAGGGAGGAGAGGAAGATTGGCATAGAGGAAAAAGGAAACAACAGACAAGATAGAGGGAGAAGGAAGATACAGGAAAGGGAAGGTCATTTTAATGTGTTTCATACTTAAGAAAAGAAAAACTGTCAAAAAGGGAAACTGATTAAACATAGAGGTGAGGTCAGGTGGAGGACTTTCTATGCAATGCCGGCATAGAAGAGGCTAAAGGAGAGAAAATATTAAAACAGCCAAAGATCTGATGAGTCAAGCAGGTGGATCTGAGGATTTGACTGGCTGTATTATAAAAGGAAGCACTGCTATTATAATAAATTAACACACAAGGAGCATTGTGCTTAGAGTCAGAAATGAACTGGTTAAAAATGGCAGCAAAAAAAAAAAAAAAGTAAAGACTTGCTGAAAATCAATTTTTTTTATGTATGTGTAAATATAATACATACATATAAAAAATAATCATAAAAAATATAGTGAAATATAAAAATACAAATACGATATGTGTGTGTGTGTGTGTGTGTGTGTGATTAAATGTAATATATAAATATAATATAAAATATATAATTGTTTTATATAACGTGTTAGATTAAATATATAAATTATTTAATTCTAATACAAAATATAAAATGGTAACATGCATGTTTTTATAATAAAAAAAGTTAAAAATATGCCCACATAAGGTAAAAACAGCCAAATAGCAAATATTTCCCCTTTAAAAATTAATTTTAATATTATTTTATTAATTAAAGTTAATTTATAAAGTTAAGTTAATGTAGGTCAGGGGAGAGATGAACATAATGTTCTCTTGATTTACAAACAGGTGAGGCAATGGCGAACATGAGGAGTCTGCCCTCCTCTAACCTAAAACCCACATTTATGCAATAATGGTCAATAAAAGCCCCAAATCCAATTCAGACACAGAGAGACTGAATCCCTACTGACATCCATTGGCAGTGTTAGATATTATCTAATGGAGTTCACTGATGGATGGCTCTCAGTGTTATTAACTGCAGCAGTTATTCACACTTCAGGAGCGGGACACGGGCCAAAGGGATGAGCTGTCTCTCTGTGCACTGAGCTCTTGTCTCTGCCAGTCTTTGACCCGGTGGAAAGTAGCACTGGAGTAGATCACGGAAACGAGAAGGGGGTGAGGGGTGTTATTTAGAGAAGGAGTGGGGAATGATAAAAGGAGAGGAGGAGAGAGAGGCAGAGGGGTAGTTTTTTTGTGGGTGAGCCAAACCTTGCATGCCACCCTGTAGGGACAATTCTTTCCAAAGCCCAGTGGAGGTGATATTGTGCGTACTACTTTGTACATCTCCTTATAGTGTAGTTTTCCACTGGAGAAGGAAATACTGGCCGTTAACAGTAAATTAGACAACTTCGAGATAAATGTAGTAGGAGTGGTTATTTTTCATGAAATACATTTTAAAGGGGTCATACCATACATTAAACCAAAAACCATCACGATACAACTATTCCATTTTACACCCTTTCTCTGAATTGTAGAATCAAACTGCTGTAATTTTGCAGCTGTAATTTTCAAAATAAATGCTCAGACAACCATTTTTTGCAGGTTAGTGTCAGTAAATGAGGTCCAAATTCATCAAGAGTTTGCTTTCTTAGTGTAATTAACTCTTTAATCTCATAAGACCAAAGAACATGTGAAAATTCCTCATGATATGACCCCTTTAAATAATCCTGTAAGGTTACAAATTAGTGTAAAGAAAGAAACAGAAACATTAACGACAAAGCAAATTTCCCTGTACATTTTTTTTTAAATATGACATTCATTAGGCATACGTTTAAAAAAATGGTAAATAAACAATTGTATGTATTTATAAATACCTTATAATGCACGTACTTATTTTGCAGAATGAGAAAATAAATATTTTTTGACATCTGTGATGCATGTGATCAACTGAAAGGAGTGGAAAGCTGTATCTCTCACCATGCTGCACGGTCATACTCTCCCCAGATCCGTACAAACTCATCCAAGTGGTGAGGACCCAGAATGGACGAGTCACGTGTCAGGTACTCAAAATTATCCATAATCACGGCCACAAACAGATTTAGCATCTAAAAGAATGTTAGAGATGTGAAAATAGAGACAGCGAAATAGACAGAAAGCAGAAAGGTATTCAGAGTGAGCTTGAGAGTGTTAAGCAGTGGTGGATATTCATGTTTTCAATGATACTAGTTTCATTTTAATCAAAATTTTTTTATGTTTTTTTTTTCATTTTAAAATCTCACCATATATATTTTATGTGCCAAAAAATTGGATTTGGTATGAATAGGTTCTGAGTGTACAGGTTTGTAACGCTGAGTATTTGTGTCATTAAAATGAATTGCGTCTCACCAGAAAAGAACTGAAGAAGATGAAGGAGACAAAGTAGAAGTATGCAAACTCGGTACCACAATCTTTTTTCTCATTTGTTGTTGAGTTGTTGAGA